AGACCCCCATTTCTGACCCCTTGACCCCCATTTCTGACCCCCTTGACCCCCAGTTCTGACCCCCTGCCCCCCCCGGTGAGGTAAGCAGCTCTATGCCTTCTCAGGAGGCATGCTGAGGGTGATCCGGTCCATGGAGTCTCCAATGCGGGGAATCAGCTGGTGTTTGATGGTGAGGACATCCCAGGTAACGGGCCTGAGAAGGTAATGTCTATCCAGCCCCAATCTGTGGAGAAGACCGTCTTTGTGCCGTTTAGCGCAGCAACTAATGCTGACCGTCTGCCTAGAACTTGGAGGTTCCATGTTTCCTTTCGAGAGTGGAGCTCCAGTCTGCAGCCAGACCCCGCCCCATCAAAGGGGTATTGGAGTATCCATCTCTTGGACTTTAGAAAAGTCAAGATTTGCATATAAATTCTGGTTGGCCAAAAGAGCTGCCCATCTGTTGTTCGAGGCCAAAGACAGTGACAGGGGCAGTGGTGTAGCATGGGTGGGGCCACAGGGGGGCTGCCCTGGGTGCAAAATTCTTAAGGTGCAAAATAAGTAAGGATTCTGGGTGATAAGAGCTGGGAGATGATTCGGAATGCCGTTCTGTTCTGGTTCTGTCAGATGGGGTGCACAATGGGAGGGTGTATGGACTTGGATCCACAATGAGGGGATAAAGGGAGTGTGGATCCACAATGAGGGGGTGCGGGTATAGAGTAGGGGGTGCAAGGAGTGGATGAGAAATTCAACCACACAGGGGAACTTAGGTAAGGAGCAGATTTTATCACAGAAGTTCCCAACCTCTGGGTTTTGGATCAGTGCTGATCCCTTGCCTGTTGGGGGCTGGGATGCATGGTGGGGGGTGGAAGGAGGACAACGAGTGAAGCAGCACAACCTACACTTCCACCCTCCAACTACCAGAGGGTGTCCTCTCCTCGTCTCCTAGAACCACTACTCCCTGCTCTCTCTGTGGTGAAGTTGGCAACATCCGGGAAGAAGAGGAAGAGAGATGAGGGGGCAGAGGGAGAAGAAGGCAAAAGGGGGGGTCTACGGTCTATAGGAGAGACAGACCACCATGTCCTGGGGGCCATCATACTGAGCTGAGTTCTGGTGACAAGCTGCAATATCCCCATGAGGTGATCGGTCCATGGAGGGGTTGTCTTCCACAAGGCCAGTTCCTGGTATCGGGGAGATTGGGGACTATTGATGTATCATATATATGTATTGTACACTCACCGGCCACTTTATTAGGGTCACCTTGCTAGCGCCAAGAAAATCTCCCCCCCACCATGACACCACCACCAGCCTGAACCATGTTGTAACAGAACCAGACCCCGACTGTGCTAGGGTATTTCCGTTAGACTCCCGCTTCCCTGTCCGAACGCAGATCCCTGGACCCCACCGCTGATCACACAGGATGAGACAGCACTAGACTCTCTTAAGACAGGAAGTAAAAACTGCTTTATTTTAACACAAACACAAGATATATACACAGGGCGGGGCAATACAAGCAGGAACAGGAAACACATCAGCAGGCCGTCCCATCAAGGGGAAGGGCTGCCGGAAACACCCCCCACCAAACCACGACACACAATAGAACAATGGGATACACCACATGGCAGTGAACAATGAACAACCCCCCACCCCACACAATACTAGGACAGATCATCCTGTACCCCTAACAGGCTCAGGATTACTCACACATAATGGGAACATGGGGAGCTGAGACAGGGGTCCCCCCACTCCCAAAAGTCACTCCCGTCACACGTGGATACAAGGCAGGATGGATCCCCCACATCATGACACCACCACCTCCAGCCTTAACCATGGATACAAGGCAGGATGGATCCCCCACACCATGACACCGCCACCACCAGCCTGAACCATGGATACAAGGCAGGATGGATCCCCCACACCATGACACCACCACCACCAGCCTGAACCATTGATACAAGGCAGGATGGATCCCCCACACCATGACACCACCAGCCTGAACCATTGATACAAGGCAGGATGGATCCCCCACACCATGACACCACCACCAGCCTGAACCATTGATACAAGGCAGGAGGGATCCCCCACACCATGACACCACCAGCCTGAACCATTGATACAAGGCAGGATGGATCCATGCTTTCATGTTGTTTAAACCAAATTCTGACCCTGCCATCTGCATGTTGCAGCTGAAATCCAGACTCATTAGACCAGGCAACGTCTTTCCAATCCTCTATTGTCCGATGTTGGTGATCCTGTGTGAATTGTAGCCTCCGTTTCCTGTTCTTAGCTGACAGGAGTAGCACCCGGTGTGGTCTTCTGCTGCTGTAGCCCATCTGCTTCAAGGTTGGATGTGTTGTGCGTTCAGAGATGGTATTCTGCATACCTTGGTTGTAACGAGGGGTTATTGGAGTTCCTGTTGCCTTTCTATCATCTGGAACCAGTCTGCCCATTCTCCTCTGACCTCTGACCTCAACAAGGCATTTTCCTCCACACAACTGCCGCTCACTGGATATTTTCTCCTTTTTGGACCATTCTCTGTAAACCCTAGAGTTGGTTGTATGAGAAAATCCCAGGAGATCAGCAGTTTTTGAAATACTCAGACCAGCCCGTCTGACACCAACAACCATGCCATGTTCAAAGTCACTTAAATCCCCTTTCCTCCCCATTATGATGCTCAGTTTGAACTTCAGCAAGTCGTCTTCTCCACGTCTAGATGCCTAAATGCATGGAGCTGCTGCCATGTGATTGGCTGATTAGCCATTTGTGTTATCAAGCCATGGAACAGGTGGACCTAATAAAGTGGCCGTTGAGTGGATATTCAGGTGGAAGGACCCAGGGAACGCACACAGTCCATGGTTCAGGGGGCGCTATACTCGCCTCGTGTGCTGAAGCCCAAGCTACACCACTGGGAAGGGGCACCACTAAAACCGGATCTCTGTGTCCCTCCGAGTACCAACACAAATGTATAATAAATGTATTTCCTTTGATCTCTTATTCATCAAGCTTCGCCTCGCCCATCCTCCTGCTCCCCTCGCCCGCTCCCCTCGCCCGCTCCCCCCTCGCCCGCTCCCCTCGCCCGCTCCCCTCACCCGCCTGCTCCCCTCGCTCACTCGCCCACCCGCTCCCCTCGCCCGCTCCCCTTGCCTGCTCCCCTCGCCCGCCTGCTCCCCTCGCTCACTCGCCCACCCGCTTCCCTCGCCCGTTCCCCTTGCCTGCTCCCCTCGCCTGCCCGCTCCCCTCGCCCACTCGCCCACCTGCTCCCCTCGCCCGCTCCCCTCGCCCGCTCCCCTTGCCCGCTCCCCTTGCCTGCTCCCCTTGCCCGCTCCCCTCGCCTGCTTACCCACCTGCTCCCCTTGCCCGCTCCCCTTGCCTGCTCGCCCACCCGCTCCCCTCGCCCACTCCCCTCGCCCACCTGCTCCCCTCGTCCACTCTCCCGTCCACTTCCCTCGCCCGCTTCCCTCACCTGCCTACCCGCCTGCTCCCTCGCCTGCTCCCCTCGCCCGCTCCCCTCGCCTGCTCACCCACCCGCTCCCCTTGCCCGCCCGCCCCCCTCATCCACTTGCCTGTCCGCTCCCCTCGCCCGCCCGCTCCCCTCGTCCACTTGCCTGTCTGCTCCCCTCGCCCGCCCGCTTCCCTCGTCCACTTGCCTGTCCGCTCCCCTCGCCCGCCCGCTCCCCTCGTCCACTTGCCTGTCCGCTCCCCTCGCCTGCCCGTTCCCCTCGTCCACTTGCCTGTCCGCTCCCCTCGCCCGCCCGCTCCCCTCGTCCACTTACCTGTCCGCTCCCCTCGCCCACTCCCCTCGCCTGCTCACCCACCCGCTCCCCTCGCCCGCCCGCTCCCCTCGTCCACTTGCCTGTCCGCTCCCCTCGCCCGCCCGCTCCCCTCGTCCACTTGCCTGTCCGCTCCCCTCGCCCGCCCGCTCCCCTCGTCCACTTGCCTGTCCGCTCCCCTCGCCCGCCCGCTCCCCTCGTCCACTTGCCTGTCCGCTCCCCTCGCCCGCCCGCTCCCCTCGTCCACTTGCCTGTCCGCTCCCCTCGCCCGCCCGCTCCCCTCGTCCACTTGCCTGTCCGCTCCCCTCGCCCGCCCGTCTCAGCACAATATCCGAATCCATTGTTTTCTTCCTCTGTGAATCCGATGCCTTTGTGATGCATTTCAATCCGTCTTCCCGCTCTCCAGCGATGAATTACTGAAATAAGCGTCACATCTCCCCCCATTATCCAACTTTCTCTGAAAACTTTCCCTCTTGAAAGGTCGGCCTGATGAACGAGCCGGGTGAGCGATGAGAAATAACCGTTCAGTCAAAGACATCACTTTTCATTTTGGAATTATTATCAAATCCACTTTATTTTCGGTCGGCACATTCGAAGTCGCAGTAATTTGATGGGAATTTCATGCAGAGCGCGGCTTTCGCAGGAAGGAATTCAGCGGACGGCTGTCTGTATCTGCTGCCCCCCGCGCCAAAACATAACCTCATCGTCTCGTCTCCGCACCTCGGCCAGCTACACCCTGAGAGGGGCTCCGAACCCTTCACTGCTGGAGCCTTCTGTTTGTTTGTTCTTTGAATAAATGCTATTTTGTTCCATAAAAAATTGACTTAAACCCCCTAATATTATATATTTTCTGAAAGCAGGGAACTCGTATAATTATATGGGGAGAGCGGACATAGTGAATGCGGGGTCCGGGGAGAGCGGACATAGTGAATGCGGGGTCCGGGGAGAGCGGACATAGTGAATGCGGGGTCCGGGGAGAGCGGACATAGTGAATGTGGGGTCCGGGGAGAGCGGACATAGTGAATGCGGGGTCCGGGGAGAGCGGACATAGTGAATGCGGGGTCCGGGGAGAGCGGACATAGTGAATGCGGGGTCCGGGGAGAGCGGATATAGTGAATGCGGGGTCCGGGGAGAGCGGATATAGTGAATGCGGGGTCCGGGGAGAGCGGATATAGGGAATGCGGGGTCCGAGGAGAGCGGATATAGTGAATGCGGGGTCCGGGGAGAGCGGATATAGTGAATGCGGGATCCGGGGAGAGCGGATATAGTGAATGCGGGGTCCGGGGAGAGCGGATATAGTGAATGCGTGGTCCGGGGAGAGCGGATATAGTGAATGCGGGGTCCGGGGAGAGCGGACATAGTGAATGCGGGTCCGGGGAGAGCGGATATAGTGAATGCGGGGTCCAGGGAGAGCGCATTCACTATATCCGCTCTCCTCGGACCCTGCATTCACTATATCCGCTCTCCCCGGACACCGCATTCACTATATCCGCTCTCCCCGGACCCCGCATTCCCTATATCCGCTCTCCCCGGACCCCGCATTCACTATATCCACTCTCCCCGGACCCCGCATTCACTATATCCGCTCTCCTCGGACCCTGCATTCACTATATCCGCTCTCCCCGGACACCGCATTCACTATATCCGCTCTCCCCGGACCCCGCATTCCCTATATCCGCTCTCCCCGGACCCCGCATTCACTATATCCACTCTCCCCGGACCCCGCATTCACTATATCCGCTCTCCTCGGACCCTGCATTCACTATATCCGCTCTCCCCGGACCCCGCATTCACTATATCCGCTCTCCCGGACCCCGCATTCCCTATATCCGCTCTCCCCGGACCCCGCATTCACTATATCCGCTCTTCCCGACCCCGCATTCACTATATCTGCTCTCCTCGGACCCCGCATTCACTATATCCGCTCTCTCCCCGGACCCCGCATTCACTATATATCCTCTCCCCGGGACCCCGCATTCACTATATCCGCTCTCCCCGAACCCCGCATTCACTATATCCGCTCTCCCGGACCCCGCATTCACTATATCCGCTCTCCCGGACCCCGCATTCACTATATCCGCTCTCCCCGGACCCCGCATTCACTATATCCGCTCTCCTCGGACCCCGCATTCCCTATATCCCTCTCCCCGGACCCCGCATTCACTATATCCGCTCTCCCCGGACCCCGCATTCACTATATCCGCTCTCCACGGACCCCGCATTCCCTATATCCCGCTCTCCCCCGGACCCCCGCATTCACTATATCCGCTCTCCCCGGACCCCGCATTCACTACATCCGCTCTCCCCGGACCCCGCATTCACTATATCCGCTCCGCTCTCCCCGACCCCGCATTCACTATATCCGCTCTCCCCGGACCCCGCATTCACTACATCCGCTCTCCCCCGGACCCCGCATTCACTATATCCGCTCTCCCCGGACCCCGCATTCACTATATCCACTCTCCCGGGACCCCGCATTCACTATATCCGCTCTCCCCGGACCAGTTATATTCTGTGTATCCAAGAAAGAATCCAGGACTTTCCTACAGCAATCCACTGAGCTGGCCACAACCAACTCTGGAGGGAGTCTATTCCACATTCTCAGCTCTTACTGTGAAGAAACCTTTCCGTGTTTGGAGATGACATTTCTTTTCCTCCAGACGTAAAGAGCGCCCCCTTGTCCTCTGTGATGACCTCAGGGGGAATGACTACACCGCGTTCACTATATGGACCACTGATGTATTTACACACAAAAAAGCTGAGTTGTGTAAACAGATGCCAAATATATGAAGAATATAAGGCTGTTCCAGTGGTAGTCACGGCACTCCATGAGGTGAAGGTTCAGGTGTTCACCCACAAAGGAATCCATATAAATCAAACTTGGTTTGGAGGCCTCACGGGTGTTGCAGAGAAGGGAGATAAAACCAGCAATGTTTTTATTGTCAACATTTCAAAATAATAAATATTTTTTAAAAGAATTTAGGACTGTGTGCGTCCATTGTAGTCCCCTCTTAGATAGCCAGGGGGGGCTAGAGTCAGATTGTTAGAGGTTGAGCTGCAGCCTAAGGAGATGGTCAGTCGGAGCTGAAATTTTGGTCTGGACTGACAGGCTCTGCAGACCAGCTCTCTGGAACTTCCTTCCTGCTCTAGAATTTTGGAGAAGGTTGTAGAAGAAGTGGGAGGGAATGAGGAGTGGCTGGTCTGCACTCTCAAGGGATCCTGGACAATCCCCGACGGGAGGCTTGGCAAGGGGCCAAGACAGCCAAGAGTGAGAGAGGCTGATCAGCAGCATCAGAGTTTGGGTGGAAGATGGAGAAGTGAGAGGCTGGAGAGCAGGAGCCTGGAAGGGGGTCCAGATGGGAAAGGGGCAAGCTTAGGACTACATTGGCCCCCAGAGCGAGGACCACCTATGCATCAGAGAAGGAGCTGCCCAGCAGTGATACCCGATACATAATAATTGTAATGGAACCGACCCCGACTGCACTTGAGTACTTCCGTTAGAATATCGCTTCCCCGTCCGAACACCGACCACTGACACCACCGCTGACCATACAGGACTAGACCACACCAATCTGTCCGAACACCGACCACTGACACCACCGCTGACCATACAGGACTAGACCACACCAATCTGTCCGAACACCGACCACTGACACCACAGAGACCATACAGGACTAGACCACACCAATCTGTCCGAACACCGACCACTGACACCACCGCTGACCATACAGGACTAGACCACACCAATCTGTCCGAACACCGACCACTGACACCACCGCTGACCATACAGGACTAGACCACACCAATCTGTCCGAACACCGACCACTGACACCACCGCTGACCATACAGGACTAGACCACACCAATCTGTCCGAACACCGACCACTGACACCACAGAGACCATACAGGACTAGACCACACCAATCTGTCCGAACACCGACCACTGACACCACCGCTGACCATACAGGACTAGACCACACCAATCTGTCCGAACCCCGACCACTGACACCACCGCTGACCATACAGGACTAGACCACACCAATCTGTCCGAACACCGACCACTGACACCACCGCTGACCGTACAGGAGGAGACAACACCAATCTGTCCGAACACCGACCACTGACACCACCGCTGACCATACAGGAGGAGACAACACCAATATGTCCGAACACCGACCACTGACACCACCGCTGACCATACAGGAGGAGACAACACCAATATGTCCGAACACCGACCACTGACACCACCGCTGACCATACAGGACTAGACCACACCAATCTGTCCGAACACCGACCACTGACACCACCGCTGACCATACAGGACTAGACCACACCAGTATTGAAGTAAGCCAGGAGGTAGACTAAAGATACAAGATATATATACACTCAGGGTACAAACCCCCCTCCCTGCATAATGACAAAGGGCGGGGCAATCCCCCTCCCTGCATAATGACACAGGGCGGGGCAACCCCCTCCCTGCATAATGACACAGGGCGGGGCAATCCCCCCTCCCTGCATAATGACACAGGGTGGGGCAATCCCCCCTCCCTGCATAATGACACAGGGCGGGGCAATCCCCCCTCCCTGCATAATGACACAGGGCGGGGCAATCCACCCTCCCTGCATAATGACACAGGGCGGGCAATCCCCCCTCCCTGCATAATGACACAGGGCGGGGCAATCCCCCCTCCCTGCATAATGACACAGGGCGGGGCAATCCCCCCTCCCTGCATAATGACACAGGGCGGGGCAATCCCCCCTCCCTGCATAATGACACAGGGCGGGGCAATCCCCCCTCCCTGCATAATGACACAGGGCGGGACAATCCCCCCTCCCTGCATAATAACAAGAGACCCACAGGTATTCAAACTTCACACCAGCAGACAGTCCCATCAGGGGGGAGGGCTGCTGGAGACACCCCCCACTAAGCTAATACACATAAACACATACATCCCATAATAGTTTGCTCCCAAGCCAGACACACAATAGAACAATGGGATGCAACCACATGACACCAAACAATCCACAACCCCCACCCCCCCCACCCCTCCTATCTCCTAGACATGTCTACACAGTCTGAGACAAAGCCCCCCCCCCCAATATTAGGGCAGATCACCCTGTACCCCTAACAGGCACAGGGTGACTTACACATAAGAGGGATATGGGGAGCTGAGACAGGGGTCTCCCCACCTCTCCAAAGTGAGCTGTGTTCCATGGGCCCCCCACCCAAAGTGAGCTGTGTTCCATGGGCCCCCCACCCAAAGTGACTCCTGTCCAGGGGCGGACTGACCATTTGAACACTCGGGCACTGCCCGAGGGCCCAGGGTCAGTAGGGGGCCCCATGAGATGCCCCAGGTATCTTTAATTGGCTTTTTCATAGGCTTTTTTGGGTGTTGGTGAGGACACAGGGGCCCCATGATCCCCTATGGCCTGGGGGTCCCATGAGTTGTCAGTCGCCCCTGCTCTAGAGAAAGGGTCTGTCCAACTGTCCAGAATCATTGGGTCATATCTATGTACACGTCCACATGGAGTATGTATGCCCTTTAAGCCGTGCCATGACTGAAGTTTATTGATGGAACCTATTCGCTCCGACTGACTCTTTTGGGGACGTTTGAACTGTTTTGAATTCTATGAGAAAAAAATCATTTTCTACTTTTCTTTTTTTCTTATCTTCTATTGAACGTTTTTTGTTTCCACTTTGAAGCGCTTAGAACTCGTCTTTGACATTTCGAAGTTTTCTCCGTGTCCTTTGCCAAGGTCAGCGCGGGACAAGCCCCGCCTCTAATAAATGGCCGGCGTTGCTCACACATAACAACCATTTGCAGCCAATTGCGGCTGACCAGGTGGAGCCGATTCCAGACACGAGATAATGAGCGATTGCAGAGATTAGGAAGTTGTTGTGCAGTTTATGAGGTCTTTGTATGGATATGGAGATGTCGCTGGTGTCGCTCGCGAGCGCGGTTGATGGATAATTGCGTGCGCAGAGCTGGAGAGCGGCCAGGAGCCTCATTACACTTCTCATTACAGTCAATAAAACGAAACTCGGAGAGGACATTGCTGGAATTAACGGGCGCGCTAAGTGCGCAACGGAATGGCTACAGCTGATTGCAGCTTGTCGGGCTGGAGAGACGTGGAGACGTGGGGAGTGGACGTGGCCGTGGATCACTTAGTCACCTGTCCCTTCCTCTGTATGTGTCCTCCGCTGGGGTGATGCCAGAAATGGCAGCTTGCAGCAATGGATTATGGGTTACAGTCCGCTTATAAAGATCGTCGGCTGAAAGATTGGGCGATTATTGGCAGATTGTAAACCACATACACCTTCCAATCCATCTCCTGTGTATGAGCTTCCTGATACAGACACTGCTCTCTGCCAAAGCTAGGTGGAATGGGATAGGCTGCGTTCTCGTGATGTCATCGCTCTCTAGCGAATGGATAGGCTGCATTCTCAGTGATGTCATCGCTCTCTAGTGATTGGATAGGCTGCGTTCTCAGTGATGTCATCGCTCTCTAGTGAATGGATAGGCTGCATTCTCAGTGATGTCATCGCTCTCTAGTGAATGGATAGGCTGCATTCTCAGTGATGTCATCGCTCTCTAGTGAAGGGATAGGCTGCCTTCTCGGTGATGTCATCGCTCTCTTAGTGAACAGATAGGCTGAATTCTTGGTGATGTCATCGCTCTCTAGTGAATGGATAGGCTGCATTCTCAGTGTGATGTCACCGCTCTCTAGTGATTGGATAGGCTGCATCCTCG